GGACTCAGAGTTATTTCACGTACTTCATGAAGCTCATTTGGCTATTGGACACGGAGGACGTGATAGAATGTTGAAAGAACTTTCAATCAAATACAAAAATGTTACACGTCATGATATTGAACTGTACATCCACCTTTGTGAACCTTGCCAGAAAAAACAGAAAGGTATTAAAAAGGGCATTGTTGTGAAACATGATTTTTTCCGAATTTAATTCCCGTTGTCAAGTAGATCTTATTGACTTTCAGTCTCAGCCAGATAGAGAATACAAATTTATTATGGTGTACCAAGATCATCTCACAAAATTTGTGATTCTTAAGTCTCTAACGTCGAAAAGAGCTGAAGAAGTAGCCTACAACCTAGTAGACATATTTTCGTTGCTTGCAGCGCCATCTATATTACAGTCTGACAATGGTACGGAATTTGCCAATAATGTGGTGACCAGCTTGAAGGAGTTTTGGCCAGCACTGAAGATCGTCCATGGGAAGCCTCGCCATTCACAAAGCCAGGGTGGTGTTGAAAGAGCTAATCAAGATATCGAAAATATGCTCTGTACTTGGATGCAGGACAACAAATCTGACCGCTGGAGTGAAGGACTACGTTTCGTTCAATTTATGAAAAATAGAGCTTATCATTCTGGGATCAAAAGAACACCATACGAAGCTCTTTTTGGCTGCAAACCTAAAGTAGGGCTTTCTTTTCTACCAGAATTAAAAGACATAAATACAGAGGAGCAGCTAGAAAAAGTAATAGAAAGCGTCAAAACAATGGAAAAAGGTGAAACTAATCAGATTACGCAAGATGAGATTATAGTCGTTAGTGGAGTAAACCAACACGATGAAGACATGCTTACTGAAGAGATTTCCGTTTCTGATACCTGTTGTGTGTGTTTAAAGGAAACAAGTGATGCACTTGCATGCAAAAAATGTCGTCAAAAAATTCATACCTTCTGTGGCCATGCTAGTAAAGATGATGAAATGGATATTTTGTGCACCCTTTGTTTCAAAACTGAAAATGCTATTGAAGGTAAAATAAATTCTAAAATCAATCTGGAAATACAAGCCAAAAAATGAAAATAAATTCGGAAAAAAAATTTCCCACTGCTTCTTTGGGAACTACTGTGCGAGTTCCTATTCCTGACGTCGACAAGGGGCGAGGTGATTCGCGCAATATATTGGCAATTGTAATGAGTGTGACAGAGGATGGTTTCTACCGACTTGGAACTTCTGAAGGAATTTTAAAACAAGTATATGCGAGATCACAATTCACTCCATGCCCCAAGAACTTGCTTAGAATTGAAGATATTCCTGACCATGAAATTCCTCTCCGGTCAGTTGCAATTGCTCAGTCCAGTGGAAGCGGCCAAGGATTCGTCAAATGTATGTGTAAAACAAAGTGCCAAAATATGAAATGTCTTTGCGTGAAAAATGTAATGAAATGTAATTCAAAATGTCATTCAAGCCTACCATGTTGCAACAAGTAGGTTAATTGTAATTTTTTATATGAAAATTTTGTTTCCCTTAATAAGAAAGGCATAAATTTTGTTTTGTACAACTTTCATTTTTCTTTACGTATTTTGAATAAATTTTTTTAATGGCACTCTCATTATTTTTTCAGAATAACATTTGTATTTTTGAGGAATGCACGTCATTTATATAATAGCCTTATCAGAACCTTTTTTCATACTTTGCCTAAATAGCATTTGTCATTCTATAGAATGCCTAGGTATTATATACAATGCCTAGGGAAAGTATGTAATAATTCTCATATTTCATAGATTGCCTAAAAACGCCAGGCATTATATACAATGCCTAGGTATTCTATAGAATGCCGGCTTTTCATATTTTGCCGGTAACATATACATAAAAACTAGTTTGCTGCACTTATCTCATGATGTCATGATGAAGTAAGTCCATTGACTTCTGATTGGTTGATGGTACCGTTTCAAGGAACGTATTCGCGTCGAAACACTGTTCGACTCGTTCTACGCCCTTTCCGACTTAACATATCATGGTCACGTGATTAAAAATAATTACTGCGAGAGTTTTTACGCTAGTGGAGTCTTGGCCTAACTTAAATTTCCTTAATTGCCGGATAATTGATATGAATGATAATAATCGATAATTATTATTAACAATTATTAATAATTTTAGTTTACTGAGATTTAAAAAAAAGAAAACATTTACTGCAGTTATTTTTATAAAATTTATAGAAGTCAAAATTCTACAACACTTACTCTTTCTTCTTTTTATCCTTTCCCATTTCATCTTTACTTTCATTCTGTCAATTAAAAAGCGTATATTATCACTCTATTTCTTAACACAAGTTAAAGTTATAATTTCCTTATCCAATGTGTATCTTATTTTCGTTTTCTTTACTTAAAATTATAAAAACTTTCAAATTATTACTTAAACTCTACATTAATATTCCATTTTCTATAATTGAAAAGAATAATACTCTTATAAAATTTTTAAATAATTCAATGGTTTTATTAAACTGATGCATTCAAATAATAATACATTTAACAAAAATATTTCTTAAAATTTATAATTGATGATTTATTTCAGGCTGATAAATTAATATTATGTGTATTAATATAAACAATATACCTTATGACTCTTTGAATAAGCTAATGTACTGAAGTGTACAGTCACATGCGGTGATTTCTTTCCTTCGGTGATTGTCGTATTTAAAAAATAAGGTGTTCCATTCACTTGCAATACTTCCCAAGTAGTAACATTCATATTAGTATAATTACCAAATTTATCAAAAATAATTCGAAAAATATCTGAAAAATTTAAATAAAAAATATTTTCGTCTAAAATATAAATAAGTTTGTTGATAATAAAATTAAAAAGTAACGAATTTACCTTCGAATTGTTTCATCACGTCCGATAAAATATTTATTGGTGACATAATGGTAAATTCTGATTGATGATCGACACTTTCGTTCTCTTGTGCTGGAGAAGGGGCTGATAATGTCACCCCTAATAGAGTGAAAAATAAAAGTGTACTTCTCATCATTTTTCTGAAACATAAAATTAAGAAAAATTAAATACTAAAAAAATAATAATTTATTAGTTTTTATTAAATATATTTCATATAGGCCCTATACATACTAAAAAACTGTAAAATATTTAAAAGTCTTACCTCAAAATATTTCTCTTCAGTAGACGATTTCGATACAAACTGTAGTTTTCAACTGATTTAACTGAAAATGTTCTCTGATTTCATTTGTTTTTAATTCTAAGACCTTCATCGATCCGTGTCAGTGATTTAAGTTTATACTTAAATATATTAATTCAAAATAATTATTGGCAACAGTTAAGCTCTACTGGTGATAGCCTTGGTTAGAATAGAATTAATGTTTTTCTAATGATTGTAAAACTTAGAAAACATACAAGAACATTTCAAAGAATTATTTTAAACCTTGAAATTTATATTTCATTTGACTTTAGAATTGTTTTCCCAGAAACAGATCTATTTTCGTTAACAAAACGAATAAATATTTGCAAAACAATTCAGTTTAAAAAAATTATTTTTCAAATGATATATTATTATACTGTAAAAGCAAGAATAAATGAATATAAAATTAGAAACAAATTACTGTTCGAGTTTTTGATAATGTGAAGATCATTATATTTGATTAGTTTTGATTCTAAGTGTTATAACATTATTTAGTAACGATTTAGTATATTTTTAAATTCTAATTTCTTGATCTCAATTCACTGTCACATTTATTATTCTTTTTTAATTCATTAAAGCATGTTTATTGAGTAAAATTAATTAGCTAACTGGTTAAAAAATTTAATTCATAAAACTTTTTACCTACAGCTGTAGAATTTTAAGTAGAATATTTGGACAGATATCTGCTTGATTAATAATATTAAAGTTTTATATACTGTATAATAGAATCTGCTTATCGCAGTAATGTTTTTATCAGTCGACAAATATTATCAGAATTAGCAGATCTAAATACATAAAGTTGAAATTGCGCTTATAAAAATTCGCTTATTATAATCAGAATTTCGGTTATAGATATCAAACTCCTTCAGATATTAGGCATTTTTAACCTTTTTTTAAAATGTTATCAGTCTTAATATATGACTAATAACACGCAATCGTAAATAGTAAATATATATGAAATAAACTTAGAATGATCATTTATTTATGCCGGCTTTTCATATTTTGCCGGTAACATATACATAAAAACTAGTTTGCTGCACTTATCTCATGATGTCATGATGAAGTAAGTCCATTGACTTCTGATTGGTTGATGGTACCGTTTCAAGGAACGTATTCGCGTCGAAACACTGTTCGACTCGTTCTACGCCCTTTCCGACTTAACATATCATGGTCACGTGATTAAAAATAATTACTGCGAGAGTTTTTACGCTAGTGGAGTCTTGGCCTAACTTAAATTTCCTTAATTGCCGGATAATTGATATGAATGATAATAATCGATAATTATTATTAACAATTATTAATAATTTTAGTTTACTGAGATTTAAAAAAAAGAAAACATTTACTGCAGTTATTTTTATAAAATTTATAGAAGTCAAAATTCTACAACACTTACTCTTTCTTCTTTTTATCCTTTCCCATTTCATCTTTACTTTCATTCTGTCAATTAAAAAGCGTATATTATCACTCTATTTCTTAACACAAGTTAAAGTTATAATTTCCTTATCCAATGTGTATCTTATTTTCGTTTTCTTTACTTAAAATTATAAAAACTTTCAAATTATTACTTAAACTCTACATTAATATTCCATTTTCTATAATTGAAAAGAATAATACTCTTATAAAATTTTTAAATAATTCAATGGTTTTATTAAACTGATGCATTCAAATAATAATACATTTAACAAAAATATTTCTTAAAATTTATAATTGATGATTTATTTCAGGCTGATAAATTAATATTATGTGTATTAATATAAACAATATACCTTATGACTCTTTGAATAAGCTAATGTACTGAAGTGTACAGTCACATGCGGTGATTTCTTTCCTTCGGTGATTGTCGTATTTAAAAAATAAGGTGTTCCATTCACTTGCAATACTTCCCAAGTAGTAACATTCATATTAGTATAATTACCAAATTTATCAAAAATAATTCGAAAAATATCTGAAAAATTTAAATAAAAAATATTTTCGTCTAAAATATAAATAAGTTTGTTGATAATAAAATTAAAAAGTAACGAATTTACCTTCGAATTGTTTCATCACGTCCGATAAAATATTTATTGGTGACATAATGGTAAATTCTGATTGATGATCGACACTTTCGTTCTCTTGTGCTGGAGAAGGGGCTGATAATGTCACCCCTAATAGAGTGAAAAATAAAAGTGTACTTCTCATCATTTTTCTGAAACATAAAATTAAGAAAAATTAAATACTAAAAAAATAATAATTTATTAGTTTTTATTAAATATATTTCATATAGGCCCTATACATACTAAAAAACTGTAAAATATTTAAAAGTCTTACCTCAAAATATTTCTCTTCAGTAGACGATTTCGATACAAACTGTAGTTTTCAACTGATTTAACTGAAAATGTTCTCTGATTTCATTTGTTTTTAATTCTAAGACCTTCATCGATCCGTGTCAGTGATTTAAGTTTATACTTAAATATATTAATTCAAAATAATTATTGGCAACAGTTAAGCTCTACTGGTGATAGCCTTGGTTAGAATAGAATTAATGTTTTTCTAATGATTGTAAAACTTAGAAAACATACAAGAACATTTCAAAGAATTATTTTAAACCTTGAAATTTATATTTCATTTGACTTTAGAATTGTTTTCCCAGAAACAGATCTATTTTCGTTAACAAAACGAATAAATATTTGCAAAACAATTCAGTTTAAAAAAATTATTTTTCAAATGATATATTATTATACTGTAAAAGCAAGAATAAATGAATATAAAATTAGAAACAAATTACTGTTCGAGTTTTTGATAATGTGAAGATCATTATATTTGATTAGTTTTGATTCTAAGTGTTATAACATTATTTAGTAACGATTTAGTATATTTTTAAATTCTAATTTCTTGATCTCAATTCACTGTCACATTTATTATTCTTTTTTAATTCATTAAAGCATGTTTATTGAGTAAAATTAATTAGCTAACTGGTTAAAAAACTTAATTCATAAAACTTTTTACCTACAGCTGTAGAATTTTAAGTAGAATATTTGGACAGATATCTGCTTGATTAATAATATTAAAGTTTTATATACTGTATAATAGAATCTGCTTATCGCAGTAATGTTTTTATCAGTCGACAAATATTATCAGAATTAGCAGATCTAAATACATAAAGTTGAAATTGCGCTTATAAAAATTCGCTTATTATAATCAGAATTTCGGTTATAGATATCACACTCCTTCAGATATTAGGCATTTTTAACTTTTTTTTAAAATGTTATCAGTCTTAATATATGACTAATAACACGCAATCGTAAATAGTAAATATATATGAAATAAACTTAGAATGATCATTTATTTTTAGCTTTTTTTTATAATTATTGTTTTTAATAATTATACATTTGCCGGCATATTATACGATAGCTGTTGTTAAAGACGACACTATAAAACAGCAGGTAAACAAATTAGATGCATGGCTAATTAATGATAATTATAATTAACGATAATTATAATTAACCAACAAAATGAAATTTGATGGTAGAGAGCGTTAATTCAAGTTGGTCATATGAACTGGGAGTTTCCGCAACTCCCGTTACAACATACAGGTTCCTAAACTTTTTGTAGTGGTTACTGAACCACTACCAAAAGTTTAGGAACCTGCGATATGGAAAAGCCTTACATTACTGTTAAACATTTGTTAAACCTATGAGTAGAGTACTGTTAATTCAAACTGTACTAAATACCCAGAGCCGTAACTAGCCATTCCTGTGTCCTGTGCAAGAATTTGCATTTAGGCCCCTTAATTTATTTGGTTTTGGAAAATAATAAAACAAATATATTACAATAGATTTTTAATCAGATTTATTTTAATTGAACTTTTCTGGCGTTTATTTCAGCAAATTCATTAATTACATGATCATAATTAATATTTTTAACGATAATGTATTCTATTGAAATAATAGAAATATTGGAAAATCGTTCTTGCCCGATATTTAATCTTAATAAATTTTTTATTAATTTTAACTTGCTGAAACTTCTCTCGCACGAAACAATAGAAACGGGAAGAGTTAGAAATATTCGAAGAGCGACATTGATATTTGGGTAAGACTCAATTAAACCAAAATCACGAAGAGCCTGTAGAATATTAAGCGGAGATGCAGTTTCCATATTTTGTATGAGTCGTTACTTCAAAATTAAAACTTTCAATTTCACTTGTGAATTCGTAGTTTTCTAAATCTTTGCTATATTTAATAGCGAGATCTGCAGCCGATTTTTTTAAAATCAGCAACACTCTTGTATTGTNTTGTAATTTTATGCAAGCTTTTTTTTATAATTATTGTTTTTAATAATTATACATTTGCCGGCATATTATACGATAGCTGTTGTTAAAGACGACACTATAAAACAGCAGGTAAACAAATTAGATGCATGGCAAATTATTGATAATTATAATTAACGATAATTATAATTAACCAACAAAATGAAATTTGATGGTAGAGAGCGTTAATTCAAGTTGGTCATATGAACTGGGAGTTTCCGCAACTCCCGTTACAACATACAGGTTCCTAAACTTTTTGTAGTGGTTACTGAACCACTACCAAAAGTTTAGGAACCTGCGATATGGAAAAGCCTTACATTACTGTTAAACATTTGTTAAACCTATGAGTAGAGTACTGTTAATTCAAACTGTACTAAATACCCAGAGCCGTAACTAGCCATTCCTGTGTCCTGTGCAAGAATTTGCATTTAGGCCCCTTAATTTATTTGGTTTTGGAAAATAATAAAACAAATATATTACAATAGATTTTTAATCAGATTTATTTTAATTGAACTTTTCTGGCGTTTATTTCAGCAAATTCATTAATTACATGATCATAATTAATATTTTTAACGATAATGTATTCTATTGAAATAATAGAAATATTGGAAAATCGTTCTTGCCCGATATTTAATCTTAATAAATTTTTTATTAATTTTAACTTGCTAAAACTTCTCTCGCACGAAGCAATAGAAACGGGAAGAGTTAGAAATATTCGAAGAGCGACATTGATATTTGGGTAAGACTCAATTAAACCAAAATCACGAAGAGCCTGTAGAATATTAAGCGAAAACGCAGTTTCTATATTTTGTATAAGAGTCGTTACTTCAAACTTAAAACTTTCAATTTCACTTGTGAATTCGTACTTTTTTAAATCTTTGCTATATTTAACAGCGAGATCTGCAGCTGATTTTTTTAAAATCAGCAACACTCATGTATTATAAAGAAGAGCCATAGAGAAAGCAAAAATTAGCCTTTCTCCAGTATCATTTTAAAGACCTCCGGGGCCCCTACTTGGCCGCATGGTTCGCTTACCGCCGTTGAGGTATACAACACATATGGGTACCAATATAAAGCAAAAAGTTATGTCAGAATTTCTGCACGCCTTTTACAACCTCGAGACTAAGATTTTATTCGAGAGTTACCACGTTATCTATTTAGCAATTAAAAAAATTCCCGGGCAGATTTATTTTTATTACAAAATGTTATCTTTACAGATTTCTAGCTCTGCACACTGTAGAAAAATCTAGAAATATAGTTTTGTATATCGTAATAATATTAGTCGTCGCCAGAGAGCTCTATAAAGTAGAGAAATATCTATAAATTTGAAAACTATAAACATAAATTTAAATTTCTCAAAAAATAAATAAACAAAATTTCAAAAGTCGCTACTTTTGGCTGATTTGTCTGCTGTCTCCGCTATCTCACTACGTCCCTGTAAAAGTCGCTACGGTTGGGAACACTGGTGAACAGACATCTAGGGTCTAAATAAGGCAAAATGTAATCGCCAATAAAAAGGAGGAAAAATTTAAGATTTAAAACTATAATTTCTTGTGAACAGCAGTTTGGGCCTCCTTCTAAGTGGGCCCTGTGCGAATGCATCTGTTGCACCTGCCTAGTTACGGCTCTGTAAATACCATCTTGAAAACTCTCTCAAAGTTGGATAACCTGCATGTCTTAAGCCTTGTGCAGTTTGAAAGTTAAAAGGATGTAGCAACTGTTCTTGTAGTACAGTCCGGACGTTAATGCCTGACTACTACTTTTTTTTTAACATTAACAGAACTTAAAATTTGACATGCAATTAAAAGTGGATTATTAATAAAAGACAAGTAACAAACGTGGTCTGTTGTAATTTGCAGTTTTCACTTTTCTGAGATGCACCTGTCTACGTTTATAAAGCTGCTACACTGCGAAACAAGGCGTTTGACAATGACGGTAGGTTTTCACATACTCGTACTACAGGAATGATATGCAAGGCAGCGAAGAAATTTTAGGAACCCATATCTCGTAAAGGAAGCTGCAACGATCCCCATTTTATATGACTAAAATTGTTTTTATTGACCCTCTATACCACTCATTTTATTTTGTCGCTTTAATTTCTTAACACTCCGTGTAAGCGAGACCCAAAGTGATTACAGTAAATGAAGTGAAATACTCCATCTATTAATAAAAATGCAATACATTAATTAATAACATTAGACTGTTTTACAACCGCTTGCTTTATAACCCTGTTTTAGAAATTTTAATCAATTTACAACCGATTTAAATTTTTAATAGAGGTTATAAAGAGTAATAACTTTTACAATTGGTTTAATTTTTTTATTAATTAAAATACGTAGCGTATTTGAGTTTTGTATGTTTTGTTGGTCAACTCGGTTTGATACTGTATATTTTAAAATTTAAACACTTCTTAGAACTTTCAATTTATAACAGCCAAAGGATGTTTGGTATTGTGAGAATACAGAGTAGTGTGGAGTGATATTAATAAATGTTCCAGATTTGTGGAATGTTCGCCGTATTCACTCAAAATCGATCTTTTCATCCACCTGAAAGAGGACAAACATTCATCTTGGCCACATGCAGGAAATAGATATAGCCTATATTTGCACCTGTGGCGGGCCGGGAGGGCGGTGCCTCTGGAGCCGCCGATCTCACCCCAGCCTCACGGAATCTGACATTCACGATCACGCACATCTTGTCATTCATTATTCACAAAACAAACTTTAAACATTTATTTTTTTCACATTTTTATTATATCTGGAAACAGAATTACACAGCAACGAAATCGAGATTGAATCATTAAAACGAAATATAAAAATCATTTTATGCAATATATGCGATTTAGTTTTGTAACGTAAACATACTAAATCCAAATTACTAATTACTATTGAAGCAATTAGGCAATTCCATCCAGCTGGTGGTTCGTTCGAGCGTTTTAGCATAAAAAGCTTACTTTTTTGCGCTTATGATTCTACAAAATCTCGTATAAAACCGGAGATATTTGCGGACTAGGCAATTTTCAATAGAAAGAACAGCGAGTGACGACAATCTATCGTTAGTCACGGTTGACTACTGGTAGATTTCGATAAGGCTCAATTTCAAAAAGCTATGTTCTCAGCAGACTGGAAGAGTCAGTAATATCCACGCACTTGAG